ACACATACAGAGAGAGAGAGAGAAATAATGCAATTTGTAGAGTAAATATTCAGGAAGTTGATATATTGAATTTGAAACTGTATATGTATTTTTAAACTGTATATGTATTTTTATACCTATAAAATATTGAGTAGAGATGGGTAGATAAAAAAGATAGACAAAACTTCAAAAATGGTCCCTGTGGTTTCCGAAAATCTGAAGTTTGGTCCCTAATTTTAAAAAACTTCACGGATGGTCCATGTGGTTTCAAAACTTTTAATGTTTAGTCCTTCTGCCTAACTCCGTCAGCTTTCCACCATTAAGTGAGGGGCATTTTCGTCATTTCAATACCCTAGGACCATTTATGAGGTTTTTTCTCATTTAAAAAAAAAATAAAATATAATTATTTAATAGAAAAATCTCTCTCTCTCTCTCTTTTTTCTCTCTCTCTCTCCCGATATAGATTTATATACGTAATGCGATTTTCTTCAAATCGTCATATTGGTGTCTAAGTTAAATTCGTAATGTATTCATGTCTTTTAGGGATCAATCTTGTTCGATTTTGATGCACTAAGACTGTTCAAAGGTAAAATTTTGCTCTGGGATTAGGATGATGCAATTCACGGTTTTGTGAATTTTGGTTAGGTGATCCCTAAAACCCTAGCTGGATCTCTCCTGTTTTTAATCTGATATATATCAATTTAGTGTTTTTCTAGATTTATTAGGAGTTCTTATTCCGGATCTATAACATGGTTCTGAACCCAATTGAGATCTAAAGAGGTTTTTTGTAGGTTAGGTTTTGACTGGTATAGATGGCTTCAAATCCTCCATTTTAGGTGGAGGATACTGACGAAGATTTCTTTGATAAATTGGTCGATGATGACGATGATGATTATAAGGTCACTCCATTATCCTCAGAAATGACGTAATTAGATGATGGGAATGATTCTGATGATGCTAAAGCTTTTGCTAATTTAGGTATCAGTGATGTTGGCACTAGACTCGAAGATTTGGGGAAAGTAGGTGAAGTTTCTTCTTTAATTAATGGGGATACCAAACATGCATCAACTGACACTTTTTTAGACCATGGTCGTCCGTTGGTTTCTTCAAATTCATTTGTATTTGATAGCGTGAGTGAAGAACCCAATACTGAGGTAGCTGGTTTGGAGGGGCCTTTGGATTCTACAGGTAGTTGGGATCATGGATCTGGAGGTGCTCCTGGTGTTAAGGAGGTGCAGTGGACAACTTTCGCTACTGAACCTGTTGAGAATGATGGTAATGGGTTTAGATCCTACAATGATTTTTTCACTGAATTTGGAGATAGTTCTATGGATTAAATAGGGAAAGGTGGTAACTTGGTTAGTCAGGAACAAAATTTTGTTGTGTTAGGCAGCAACAATGTAGTAGATGATTCCATGCATAGGAAGAATGTTAATGATTACTCAAATCAATTTCAAAACGTTCAGACTTATGCATCGGCTGGAGAACAAAGTACAGAGATCCAACTTATGCTACATCTGGGGAACAAAGTACAGATGGTCAAGATCCAAGTAGCAGTTGTTTGGTTAAACGAGAGAGAGAGAGAGAGAGGGTGGGACCTTTTTATATTAAATATTTATATTTTATTTTTTTTATTATTTTTAAATAGAGAAAACCTCGTAAATGGTCCCTGGGTATTGAAATGACGAAAATGCCCCTCACTTAACGATAGAAAGTTGACGGAGTTAGACGGAAGGACTAAACATTAAAAGTTTTGAAACCACAAGGACCATTCGTGAAGTTTTTTAAAATTAGGGACCAAACTTTAGATTTTTGGAAACCACAGGGACCATTTTTGAAGTTTTGACAAAAAGATATAGATGATGAGAGGTCTCGACTTTAAAGATGATCTAGTCGTCTAGCAGATTATAGATGATGACCAATGACTATTATAGACAGTCCAGTGGAACGCTATTAGGCTCGCTACCTGTAGGTGTTTTTGAACTAAGTGTTCACCAGGTGTACTCCATCCTCCCACGGTTGCCTTATTGACATATATTTCTAAGGAATCTTCCGAGTATTATTGTCTATCCTGTAGATGATCCTTAGGATAGCTCCCTCGAATTAGAGGCTTTAGAGACAGAAAAGTGAGGATAACAGGAGTGGGTAATCGGGAAGAATCACTTGATATAAATATATAATTAAAAGAATTTAATTATTGTGGGTTGAAAACCCTATGTGCTTACCAGGATCCCAAGTCTGACCCACTCAGTTTCTTGTATTTCAGGTAGTGACATGAGAGTACAGGTGTGATGATCAGATAAGAGATTTAAGGATTATAAGCCAGTAGAATAATAGTTGTTTGTAAGGCCTGTATTATTTCCGTTAATGCTTATGTATTGTATTAATGATGACATCCCATGGTTCTTGATATAAATAAAATACATCTCTTCGGAAATGATTTGATAATATAATTATCATGTTTCTGGGAACAAATTCCGCAATATTATTCTTCAAAAATGATACACTGCTTTTAAATAAGCACAAAATAAATTGGTCTTTTCTGGCCTAAAAATTAAGGATACCAGAACGTGCATATTAACACCTGAACGAGGGATGATTCGTGTAATTTACCCCATATATATATATATATATATATATATATATATATATAGAGAGAGAGAGAGAGAGAGAGAGAGAGAGA